TTTTTTATGATTGTTTGCACATTACAGTTTGGACACGCTTTGCAACATTTGCTAACTACGGTCTACGGTCTACGGGAGTATTCTGCCGGATTGTCGTTTGTGGAATGGGACGCGGTATTCATTTGCGATTTCTTTATGGAGAACTGGTATGAAATAAAGTTATTCCTTTATTTATTTTCTTTATTTAATTATTTTCTTTCTATTTTAATACTCCCCAAGGAGCGCCAATGCGCGTATAATGCGCTTTGAATGTACATTAAACTTTGCATTAAATGCGGATATTTGTCCCGCATTATATGCGCATTTAATGCATATTATGGAAACGCATATCAAAAAGTGCACCTACGCTCATTGATCAAGGAGCCCAATCGAACAGTGAACTCTGTACTATATAGGAATTTTTCTTCGTGCCCAGCTTTTAAGCATTGCTGTGAGCACATTCCAGTACAGCTATCACAGAAGAAAAAAGCATTCTTATTTAGAGAATATCTTTATTTTTGACATGATAAATGTCATTTATTTAAAATTTAATTTATTTAAAATTTAAAACTTAAATAAAATGTCCCATAATGAGTCAGAAGCTACTCATTTAAATATTTTATAAAACCTGTCATTTATAAATTGAATGCTAAATTTACATTAATTACGCATTTGAATGTGCGCATTTTGAACACACAATTAATGTGGTTTTGAAGCCAATGCAATTGTAGGCGCATTAAAAGCACGTTATACGCGCATTGGCGCTCCTTGGGTCTTATATTACCGTTAATATTGTAATTAATTAATGAGTTAATATATTCGGTGTAGGTTGTACGAAACATTCATGTTGCAAAAAATTTCCAAACATTACGAAACAAAGCAGCCATTACCTGCGGAAGCTATCGAGAGCATTAAAAGAATGAGGTCGCACTTGGCCGGTTATAAACTTTGCAAAGAACTTTACTTGTCACATTTAGATCTGGAGCTGCATTCCAGGTGAGCATCGATCTACAAACCTCCGTTAAATTCTAATACAAATTCTAAATTCTGAATTTCTTCCCAAATTATTTAAGAGAAACGTAATTACATTCATTAAATATTTACATCTTATTACATTATTACTTACAAAGTAAACAAAATATTTGCTATTCTTTCAATACAATTATTCAACGACTCGATATTTTGAAATGAAATCAGTCTTCTTATTTAATTATTGAAAAATTATTGAAAAATTTGCAGTGGAATGTTTTGGGTGCCTATGATGAAACGCTTGTGGCCAAAAATTTCGTATTGCCTCTCGAAAAAAGGGACGTTCATGTTTGCAACTTTGAAGCTATATGGAGCAGTAATTGGGCGGCCGCGTATTTCAGGTATTGCAAGATACATACATCTATTTTATATAGATTGAAAAATTGTCGGAAATTGATTTTAATTTAAAATAGATATACAATTGTTATCTCAAATTGCAAAATGTTCCTATTAATAAAATAATAAAAAGTGGTTTGTTATTTACAATTGTTACTAGTAGCTCACATTGCACAAGCACTGATTGAACTGTTAAATTGCAGCAAAGTTTGGTTCGAGATGATTGCTGCCGATTTATACACGGCTTTCCAGGAGGTCAAGTCCAACGAATATTGCAGCAGAAGGAGTTGGGTGCGAGATTCCGTAACACATTTTTGTCCTTGGGCGGCAGTTATCCTGCTGCTGAAGTATTTAAGAAATTCAGGGGAAGGGATCCGAGCTCGCAGGCGTTACTGGACAATCTCGGGTTAACGCGAGCGACGAAGGAAATCAAGTGATGCGATTACATGATTAGATAGAATACTACTCTTCAAGAGTGCGCAAAAATAACGATGAATCCTGTATAGTAATAGATAATTGTTACCTCGATCTATACATAACATAGATCCAGGAATTAATTGAATTGTGAAGTGGTCAAATTAAGCAATAAATTATTACTTGTAAAATATTACTTGTAAATTGCTAAAAAACGCGAGTTTTTGTTTAAATTAAATAGTGATATATAAAGGAGGTTAAATAATTTAAATAAAAAGAAATATTTAGTGTATTATAAACAAATTCCTTTTTCTTGGTACCGTGGTTTTTTTAATCAAATGCTTATAGTATGCTTTCCCCGCATACTCTCTTTTTGTCTTAAATATATGTATGCTCGGATGGATTGTTATAATTAATACCTTTCTAAGAAAGCATATTATAAATTTATATAAATTTGGTTAAATTTTTAATTATAGTTTTAATATATTATTTGAATATTATTATTTCTACACATTTATAATTTATGTCATATTGTGACGGCATACCGTGCTTTGTTTCTGCTGCATTTCTACCATCACGTTGTACTGGCATATTGTGCTGGCAAAAACAAAGCTGAATGAGGACGCAGCGGAGCGGAATCTGCTGCAAATTCGTGAATGATTTTGCTGGCATACTGCTAGCATACTGCTAGCATTTTGCTATCTGGGGCTGTAATGCTATAATGCATAAAGAGGTGAACCTTCGCTATCGCGACGATAGTAAGTCCAGCTTATATATTTGCAAATTATCAAAGCGTATAATATTTATGCGCGCATGCAGCTCATATTTATCATAAGTTATGCGTCACATGGCAGCATGCTCTTTGTAATTTGTATGACCTTTAATGTCATTATCGTGATTAATCAGCATCAGCAATTATAATGTGTGTCATAACTCGATGGAATAAAAAAAATGCATCTAATCGTACACTATAAAGAACGAACATTTAATGTCGATACTAAAGCTATTGCTCCAAAATAATATTCGATTTTATCATTCGATTTTATCATTCTCATCATCGTGCCTAAGCCAGTCGCAATTCTCTTCAATCAGTTTCTTCCAATATTCTGCAATAATAAATATTTATATTACATATACGTTAGTTTATATGAATCTAGATTTATGCTTTCATATATATTTTAGATTACAATGAACTCTTATGTTTGCTTAACAACATTTTTTATCGTCCACTAAGCGCGCCACATTTATTTCCTTTAATTTATTATAATTACCTATTAATTCCTGCATTGTATCACCAGTGCCGCCATATTCGACGGGCAAAATCTCAGCGGGGATATCCTCGAAACACTCAAGCGTATGTGAACAAACGTGAAATCTGTTTTTTATCTTTTCGGTCATAAAAGATTTGAGAATCCTCACAGTAACATCCAAAAATGCCGGGGCATTGAATAGTTTAATTTTGTGGTATCTCATAGGGTAGCAGCTTTGCCACATGTGGACTATATTCATTAATACATAAGGTCGGGCTTGAAAAATTTGTTGTATGGTTGGACTGGTCACGTCTATTAATAATATGCAACCGTACATTGATGCTGCGGGATAATATTTCATTGCTACTTCTATCGCTATCATACAAATCTAAAAAGATCGCCCATGAAGAAATAAATAATTAATGATTGATAATTGGAAATACTTCATCGCGACAATTGCCCATAAATTGTTTGAACATTATAATATTTCAATATTTTACCTTAAATATATCCGGCACTTGGTGTCTTCTCGGATCATGCAAAGTGATGCGCATAATAATTATCAACCTTCCTTGACTATCTGGCTTCCGCAGGGGCAAACATATTCTAAAAATGAACAAAATATTTCAGAAATCTTCGAAAAAATCGTTTAATTTTAATAATGCATTTAGTATTTTCGAAAATTTTCAATAAAATATTTTTCTTATTGTTAGAATATAATAGAAACAAAAAAAGAAAATTACCAATAATTTATCATTAATTTTATGCAAGATGTTATTTTTAAAATTGAAGCTGCAATTAGTGAAGGATTCTGTTATGTATCCGAAATAGATAAAGAAGATTAAAAAATAATGAAAAACAAAATTAGATTAATTATCCGAAATACTGTTTGTTACCCCAAATCAAGCAGTTCCTGCAGTTCTGGTCGAAACGGATCTTTATTCAAGTACCATTCTGGTAAATTGGATCGTTGCTTATAATAATTTCGTATCCTGATCTTAGTTTTCTCAAGATTAAACTTACACACTCTCAAAAATCGCAGAATGAGAAAGTCATCTGTGTACACATTAAAGAATCCCTTTAACTAAAAGGCTATAATTGAAACAGTGCTAAATCAGGTATTATAAATTAAATTTTATAAATGCGTGCCAAGAGATGAGATGGGGATTTTTAATTAATAGAAGATTTAAATAAAGTTTTGAAAAACATTTTGGCTTACAAAATGGCAAAATGCAATAGTGCGATAACGAACTTTGTCATGTAGATCTTTTATCGAGTTACTATTTTTCATCATTTATTATTATTTGCCGAAACTTTTTCTCTTCATTGTCAGACACAATTTGTTACATTATTTTTTGTTTTTCTTTTCTTTTACACGATCAAGAATGAATTCGAAGAGCTAAATATTTGACGTGTAAATAAGTTGTACTGCCGAAGTAACGAGCCGTAATTGAATTTCAACAGGCCCCGCGCTCGTAGGATCGCTGATGTCATTTTTACCGATTCGTATGCGCAGTTCGTTCTCGATCCAGCGTTTGATCTCCGCGACAGCGTTCTCTCTCGTTTCGTCGGTCTCGTTCAAGCTTGCTGCTGCATATTTTTTATCATCTTCAGTCAGCTCTTGTGGAACATGAGGCACAGCGTCATCGTTGCAAGTGCTCGCCATCGCGATGTTGGTAAAAGTTGATGAACGCGAAGCCTCGTCCACCGAAGAGAGACCCGTATCTACAAATTACGTAGATGCACTGTCACGTGTAAGGTAAGACAAATGCAACAATGTTTAATGTAATGTGTTATGTAACAGGACAAATAACACGGAACAATCAAATACAATCAAATTAGAATAAATGCCATTTTTGGTCCGAGCTTAGAGAGATCTTTGATAGCTTAATATAAATTTCCGTGCATGTATATATGTATATGTATATTTCAACTTATTAAACTGCGCGCTGATCACTTTTGAACTTGAAACACAGTTTATTGTTGGAACAATGGCCCCTTCCTCCTCGTAATTAAAACTATACGATTTAACTATCTAAATTACTGTAAAGAATTTTAATTTCTTAATCCGATTGCAACACCCATATTAGATCTTTTAAAAAATATGAATAGACGAATATAGAAAACGGGCTAACTAAGACCCAAGCGCGGTAAATGATCCATGAAAGTTTTATTTTTATCTTTATTTTACATATCTTTCAATTTTTACCCGCCGACAAATTTAGTCAAGGCCCACAATCAAGGTTGGAAGATATGTAAAATAGAAAAAAAATAAAACTTCCGCGCATCATTTACCGCTCTTGGTTCTTAATTAGCCCGTTTTCTATATTCGTGAATTTCCATTGGAGCTTATATACTTCGAATTTTAAATATAAATAGAATTCATGTAAGATAAACTTATATTCAAAAATTATAATTATATTGTTATACTTATAAATTAAGCATATAAAATTAATAAGTTAAAATGTATGTCTAATTTCTAATTAAAGAGTTAAAA